AAGAATGTGCGAACTCTTCCCAGCCCAGATCCAACCAGCCATCACTGCATGTGATCCCATCATCGGGAAGGCTCCAGGAGATGCCAAACCGGTGCCAGACACTCCAGCCATGAGCTGTGCACGTTCTCTGCCTGTTGGTAGGTGGCTCCTGCAGCCTCTGGGGCTCTGCTGAACGGTGTCCTCAGGTCACCAGGAGTTGGTACCACCACCTGCCTGCAGGCAAAGTGACATTTTTCTCCCCTTTTGAGAATAAAAGCCTAATCCTTGTAGAAGCTCATCGAGGACATGATTGGAGACAGAAATAAGGTGCAGAATAACCCTGTCTGGGTGGGTGACAAGTGGCCTTATGCTCTTGGAACAAAGCGTTGTGTCCAGGGCCAGGCATCCCTTCCTGCGCTGGGCGGGTGAAGGGCAGTATTCTGAATTCCCCAGATTTTAAGGCAATTAAGGACACAAACCACCGCTCCCCCTGCTGCTCCATCCCACTGCCAGTCTTCCCTGGCATACAGAGATGGATGGAGTAGGAATAGCGGTGACGGGTGCTCGATGCCATGCCTACAGCAAAAATAGATGTGGTTGGGCTGCGATGATGCAAAGCCAGAAGAATCCTTCTCCAATTTCTTCGGCTTTGCTTTCAGCGTGGCTCCTGCCTGGCTGTCATTTGTCACCGGTGCTCGTGGCTCCTGCATCCCCAGCACATTTTTGGGGTGATTTTAGGCTGAAATTGGTTGATAAAGTCCTTTTCAAAGATCTTTCCCTTTTTCAGGTCATTCCTGCCTCCTCAGGGATGAGCTATCAACGGGAAAGGGGCAGAAGCTGCTGGTTCATTGTGTGAGGTCGCTGCCACTGGGAAGCAGTGGGAGAAACATGAGTTTTTGGCATTTACTACTCAAAACAGCCTTCTGCCAGAGCTGGATGCAACAGAGGAGTCTCCTGCAGTTACCTGCATGAGCTCATCCCCCCTGCCCCTGATTTTTGGTTTTGCAGAAAGAGCTCAACAAACTTCTGCAGATGATTTCCAACCCTATGGAGCTGGTAACTGTTTCCCAGTTTTGGTGGATCTGTCGTGGTCCACATGTGATGCTCAAGGGAAGTCTGTGCTTTGGGGAGGAAGATTTCAGAGCAGTGGTACAAAACAGCTGGAGAGGCAGCAACTAGATGGAAAAAAGGTCCTAAAAGCGGTGCAGGATCCAGCAGGAAAGGGAAAGCATCTTCCAAGGGCAGCCTTGCAAGCAAGATCATTCCTCCCTGGAAAGAGATGCCAGCATGGAATGAGTTTGGAATGCAGCAGCAAGACTGATAAAATGAGCAAAAGGCCATGAGAGGTTGAAGGAGGGTTTGTTTAGTCTGGAAAACGACAAGATAACCTGCTGTGTCTGAAGGGCTGCCTTGAAAAAACAGGACAAACTAGGAAAAAAACAATGGTTGATGGGAAGAAGAGGAGATGCCGTTCCACAGCTGGAGGTTTTGGGAGGAGATTGGGCAAACATCTGGGACTACCAAATCCACGTTGAGGCCAGCCTGGGGGGGTTCCTGAGTCTCCTCAAAGCTCAGGATAAACAGTCTGGACCACAACTCCATTTTATCCTGAGCCTTTGGAAAGCCTGTCTTGGAGAAGGCAGGTTGGGATCCACGAGGTTTCATCACCCTGTTCTGGCAGACTGGCCTTACTGGGATTTGCACTCAGGGCACTGGTTGGGCTCCTGCTAACGGAGCAGGCTGTGTTGGGATCTCTCCTTGGATCCCACATCCCCAGAGGGTGTTTGGAACAGGACAGAGGAAAGACAGTGGGGTGAGGGAGCCAGCAGGGCTCCAGAAGTTACCCCAGGAGGCTGCAGTAATCCAGCAGGAAAAGCCCAGCGACCTGGCCCAGGAGGAACCTGCCTCACCTCTCTGACCTGCAAGTTTTCCCTGAATCCTCAAGGATATTTTCCACTATTCATCATGCAGAGAATCTCAGGAGAGCTTCATCCTGCCCATTCACTGTTAGGATTGGGAACAAGGTGCGAATGCAGCTGTTCTTTGCTCCATGGGGACACCTCTGGCTGCAGAGTCTGCACAGGTGAGGCAGTGCCAAAACAAAGCCCCGAGTAAACCCTGTCCTAAAAAAGAACCCATTTCCCTCATGGAAGGACTTGGTTTGCTCTCCCAACCTCATGGCAGAGGTGACTCTGTGCCACGATGCAGCACAGTGGGATCAGGATGTGCTGCCAGAGCACCTCCCACCTGCCCCTCACCACTCTGAGCAAACCACGAGGCAGCTCCAGGCTGGGCTGATCCCAAATTTCCCTCATACAGAGGCGATGAACCATCTGAAATGTGGTTTTTGGCTTTTAGAAACCTCCCAGTCAGAGAATGGCGCAGATGCTATGGCAGTGAGGGAAGAGCACCAAGGACTGGCATGGAAGCAGCCCATCTTGGGAGGTGGGATTATCCCTCAGGAAGAGCAGAGCTGAGAAAATAATTCACAATTTGGCTGGAAAATGCATCCATGCTTTTCAATTGTTTTGCTCACCCTTTGCTGGGACATGAGTGGAAATCTACCCACTACTCACTGGATTCCAGAAGTTTCCAAGTCTGTAACAGTCAGGAATGCTGAGGTGGAGGCACTGGCATGGCTGGGTAACAAAATCAGTGTCTGTGCTAATTACACCTGCACTGGGGTCAAGCATGAGACATTAATGATGGGAATGGTGGATATGGCCCAGCAGCTCCTTCCCAACTAAGTTTTGCTGGCTTTCCCCGGGTGATGTCAAAGGTATGGATCCGTGGGAACAGTGGTGCAGAGGAAAGGCAGGTGGCAGAGACAGGCACCAAGGAGGGTCCTGTGGAGTCACACACTTCCTACCCAAGCAGGAAAACAAAAGGATTGGCTTCTCCCAGCTGCAGAGCAGCTCCATTGGGATGGGAACACCTGCCTTGTGTGTGATCAATCTACTGGAGCTGGAGTGAACTGCAAAATAAATAGTTTTAACCCCAATAAAGGAGTTGCAAGGAAAAACAGGATTTTTAGGAGCTCCTGGAATTCCAAGAGGAGCAGAGAGCTACTGCACTACTCATGCAAGAGGTGCCTGAATGTACTGAACCCACAACTGCCTTGATACTGCACAAGTATCTGCACAACTGCTCCCTCAAGCTCCACAATCCCTGCAGGCCCCAACTCAGGCCCAGGGAAAGTCAGGAGATGCCGCAGGGACAGGAGCATCTCCTGTGCAGGGAGACTCAAACTGCCCCAGAGGAAATTCCACCTGCATGTGTGGGGAGAGGACAGCCACACAAACAGCTCCTGGTTTCCTTTTTGCCCTCCGCATGCTTCCAAGGTTTTTATTTGTCCTGTGTTGACGGGAAAGCAGGTCAGAAAAGGGCACAGCCTGTCACATCCAGCCAGCAGATGCTGCTCTGGCACAGGATTCCTTGCTGCCCTGGTGGGATCCATGCTGGGGATCAGGGTAGGCTTCCTCCTCCTGCCATGGGTAATTCCTGCCTCACTGCTGCAGAGCACCGGGCCAGGCAGCCGTGGCTTCCAGCACTCCACACCCCACAGCTGCGCCACAGGGCAGCGCTACACCCTGGAGCACTGGGCCCTTCCTGGACTGAGAGCCCTTGGATGATTCAGCAGCAGCAGCAGCAAGTGCTGGGCTCTCCCCAGAGCAGCTGCTTCCCCAAACCCCAGGGACAGCTTTAACATGGATTGTGGGGTGCACCCCAGCAAGCTGCCACTCAGACAACATCCATTCCCTCTGGCTCAGTTGGTGTTACTGACATGTGTCTGAGCCTTACCAGCACCCCTGGGCCTCACAATGACATTGAGGGGCTGGAGCATTCCAGAAAAGTGAATGGAGCTGGGGAAGGGGCTGGAGCACCAGAAGCTGAGGGAGCTGGGAAAGGGGCTCAGCCTGGAGAAAAGGAGGCTCAGGTGGGACCTTCTGGCTCTGCACAACTCCCTGACAGGAGGGGACAGATGGGGGCGTCAAGCTCTGCTCCCAGGGAACAGGGACAGGAGAGGGAACAACCTCAAGCTGTGCCAGGGGAGGTTCAGGTTGCACATCAGGAGGAATTTCCCCATGGAAAGGGTGGGCAGGCAGCAGGAGCTGCTGAAGGTGGTACAGTCCCCATCCCTGCAGGGATCTGAAAGCCCTGTGGATGTGGCTCTTGGGGACACAGACAAGCGGTCACCTTTGAGTGTTGGGAAATGGCTGGAGTCCATCTTAGAGGGCTTTTCCAAAATGAATTATTCCATGATGCATGGAATATGAGCCTTGCAATGCTCATACCAAACACAGACCTGGCACAGGAATTTGGGACACACTTGGCACAGAAGCCATATGACACATTCCAAAAAATTTGTCACCAAAAAATGTGCCCACCTGAATGGGCTGGTACTGCTCAAACAATTTAAAATAATTACTGCCATTGTCCATTCTGGACAGTAAAAACAGGGAAATTTTAACAAACACCTGGATAATTTGCAAATCCCTAAGACACCTGGTGTGCTGCTGTTGGCCATCTCCTCTCCAGGCAGCTGAAAGCAGGTAGGGCCTGCTCCCCTCAGTCCCTTCCTCTGCATCACAGCACACCATTCCTCAAACTTTGTTCCCTACATTCGTAGAAATCATCAGTTTTGAGTCTAGAAATTTCCATTATTTCCACAAAACCACACATTCTCACCACAAACCAATGTGGAAAGCTCCTCCAACACAAGATTAAAAAATAACTGGCTCACAGATCCAAGTGCAAATTCATTATGTGGTATGACAGATAAACAGTCAAGTGTTGGCCTAAAATCTTTTAAACACAAGAGGCAACAGCTGAACACTCAAATGAGGGATTCAGTGTCGATTTCACAAGTGAGAAATGGACTTGAGAAGCACCTGAGGTGCAATTTACTTGTGGCACAACAAAAGACTGGTTCCTCCTGGAAGGAATGGATGGCACTTGCCCTGGGATTAACTCCATGCTTTTGTTTTCTTGGCAAAAATAAGTAGGAAAGAAAAAAAACAAACATCTTTTTATTTTATTTTCTTGTCTCACTTTCAGAAAGCATTTTACACAGGTTTGTATCTTGGGAATAACTTGGAATCAGTAGAAAAAACTAACTCAACAGTTTGTGTCTTTACAATAGAAACCTCTCAGGAATCAAAATGGAGACTAAAAAAATACATGCAAAACATACTCCTTTCAAAACACACCTGGAAACAAAGCACCAAACTACACAAATATGCAGAATGAAACAGCATTGAACACCACAGAAGTTGTCTTCATAAAAGGTGTAAAAGTCACCTAATTCACTAGGCACTGTCACTTGGTTAAACAGAAGAGACAATAAAAAAATATTGTCCACAAACTTGCAATTTCAACTCAAAGGCTGTAGCTAGAAATTCCTCTATGTGTCATGCTTTAATAGCGACCTGAAAGACAAAAACCCAACAGTCAGACTTTCAAAGGTTGGGGCTCAATAAAATACCCACACCCAAATCAATCTTAGGGGACACAGAAGCTCAAAAGAAATTCAAGAAATGGGAAATTTACTTTTGAGAGGTGAACTCTGTGACTGAGCCAGGCCCAGTTAAGGCCAGGTTGGATGGGGCTTGGAGCAAGCTGGTCTGTGGGAAGTGTCCCTTCCCATGGCAGAGTGTGGAATGGGATGAGCTTTAAGGTCCCTCCCAACCCAAACCATTCCATGAGTCCACGACTACTTACGAGGTGAGTAGGATCGGGATCTGGACCGGGATCTGTAGCCCCCTCGGCTGTAGTATGGGGACGGTGACCTCCTCCTGTGACAGGGGTGACACAAACAATCCCTTTGTTAAAACCTGCACAGGTGAGTGCCAGCAGCTTAATGTGGGTAGCTCTAATTCCATCCTGGTCTCAGGAATGCACTTGGGAAAGCTAACAAGCTTGGGAGACCTGATCAACATTTCCACTGGGCAACAGAGCAATGATTTCAATTCTCTTTTTTCTTACCAGGATTATTTTTTACTAACACAGCAAATACAAGCTCTTGCACTCACAATCTGCTCTCATGTGAATTTAGTCTGAAGCCAAGAGCATCCCACACAAGCAGGGTAAGCCAAATCCACCTTCACTTTTAATCTGAATTACTTGTTGAAGGTGAAAATTTCCTTGACTTGCAGTCAAGTCCTACAGCCAGGCACTCCCAAACCCCTCTAATCCAGGCATTCCCAAGTTTTGTGTTTCCTTGCCTAGTTCCACTAGTCCAGTACACACCTGTAAAACTGATCCCTGTCCTGAACAGCTCTCCAGCCTCCTCCGCCGCCACCACCTCCTCCTCTGTGAAAACAAAATGACGACTTTTAGGAATTTAAAAAATAAACAAAAAGTTCACTGTACAAAACCCCCCCATCATCAGAGTAAGAAAATGACATGAAGACAACATTAGTTCTTATACCAGATGATGCTGACTTACTTAATTTAACATTGATTTTTAAACACTTACCTATGCAAGGAAAATCCTTTTATCTATTATTTTCAAGTAGCAAGATCAACTCACTATCCTGAGGAAAAATATCGATTCCAAGGTGGAGGCAGGGAAAACCTTCCCATCCTGACATTTTAACACTTTTGAGTCATGTTTAAACACAAAATGTGATGTGACTTATAGAGGGCTGAAACATCACCCTACAGCATTAATACTGAGTGGCTGCACTGAAACCTCCTCAGATTCAGATTAGCAAAGCTCCAAACGGAGACTAAATCAAGTTTAAAGCCTTCCCCAGTTGTTTCTGGGGGATTGCTTTTCTTAAAGAATATTACCTTATTTACAGACACTTCTTCAGGCAAAATTAAGCCTCCCACAGTAACAAGGAGAAACTGAAGTTTTAATTCCCATTTGTCACTACATTTCCCTTAAGGCTTTATTTTCAGAAGGTAGGGAATGCAAAGGAATCGTTACCAGTGGAATTTTTAGGGTGGGGTGTGCAATGCTCCACTGCATCTTGAACAATTCCAACTTTTCCTTCCTCAGGGAAGCACTCACAACATAGTAACACCTCTCTCCCTCCACCAACCCAGGTCTGCAGGAGGGGAAAGTAGCAGACCATGACATCTTTCAAGTAGCCACACACAAGTCATTTGTGGCTACGTATTTATTCACAGAATCCTAGAATGGTTCAGGTTGGAAGGGACCTTAAACACCATCCAGGGGCAAGCCCTGTCACAAGTAAGGACACTTCCCACCAAAGCAAATCACTCTCACTGGCTCTCTCCTGACACAATCACAACTGGTAACATTCACAAACCCCTGTCAGGATGAAAAGGCACCACTTAAGCACTGAAGACTTGGGCCCATAGCGTAACTTTAACATGGAATTCTGCAATTGCAGGAATGCCTGGTAGTGCAGAGAGAAAATATCAACTCTTATCTTTGTGTTCAACTTAACAGTGTCCCAGAAATTGTGAGGATTTTGCAAGGGACAAGGATTTTGATGGAAAATGCAGAAAACCAATTTCTCTATTACCAAAACCATTTCTCTATTACCAAAACCAACTCCACCCCAACCATGATTACACACACATCCAACCTGACAAGGGATGTTTAAAAAGCTTTTTAATACAGATGCCCAACACATACTCCAATCCCCAATTCTTTATTTTTGGCAACATTTGAGGTGCCATAATTATCAGCAGGAGATACTGGGGACCACTGAAATTTCCCACTTTTTATCTACTACTACAATGTGCTCAAAATTTAAGTAGACACTTTAATACCAACTCAAACATTAATCTGCACCATTTCTGTGCTAACAGATGAACCAACTAAAGATTCAAAAAGGAAAGCACAATGAACACTTAGTGCAGATTCAGAACATATTTTGGACTAAGGCAGGCCACAGGTTAAACACCATCAAGTATTTCTCAATCCAACTAATATGATTTATATTGAGCAGTCATTTTGGTGAAAATTTCACAGGAAAATTCCAGATTGACAGTGAGTGCAAAAATATTCTGGAATAATTATGTAGGATGAACTGCCTAATGCTTGCACAAGCAGATGAGAAAACAGAGTTTAGAAAGCAGCAAAAGATTCCAAATATGCTCACCTGTATGACCTGCTGTAATAATCACGGTCATCGTAGCCTCTGTCATAGCCTCTGTCATAGTAATCTCGCCGCCGTGAGCTGCCACTGCAAAGAGGGAAGGAAATTTCATTTGCTAAGATACAAAACATTAACTTTGTCTGCAGTGTAGTAAATTCACATGATTTACCCTAGGTTACATTGTTACTTCCTATCCTCACAGTTGGAAGACTGCAAGTACTCCTGTTTCCCACCAGTGCAGGTGGTGGGAAATTACTACTTAATGAATTGTTATTTAAATGCTAGAACTTTCAGTTATTTTCCTCAGCCTTTAGGTATCACAGGCACATTCCATTCCCAGACAAGTCTTCATTCACTTTTAACTCTCAAAAAGCTCCTGTTCAATCAACTTTCTGACTTAAAAAAATCAGAAACCTTTAGTCTCAACACAACATCACCATAACCACCAGTAAGCTGAAAGTCTTGGGAAGTGAACTGGGGAACGACTCGGGAAAACTATTTACACTGCTGGCAACTGGAAGTCAAAAGCGCAGGGTGTGAACACAGCAAACCACTAATCCCAAATGTTAAATGAATTAATTAATGTGTAAGCCCCAAGAAACCAGGAAAACCACTCAGAATCAGGTCTCTCAGGGACAGGAATTTTTACAGAATCATGAATCCTATCCTGTACTGGTTTGGGGGGAAAAAAACCCAGCCAAAACCATGGACACAACTTACTAAGTGGGTCTTCCCATATAGATTCCAGGGGTTGGTGTGTGAGGTCTTTTTGTTATGGAAAAGTCTACCCGGATCCTTCTTCCATCCAGCTCCATTCCATTGGCACGTTCCTTTGCCTAAGGAGTGACAGAAGAACATTAGCTGTAGGTATGAACTTCAGCAACTACACAACATTTCTAACCGCTCCTTTAAGTGTAGAAATGTCCTAAAAAACGGCTGTTTGGAGGCAGGTCTGAGTGTCACATCTTACAGTGAATGCACTGTGTAAGATGCTCTGGGCCAGCTGGACTTAAGTGCCCATAACCACTGACTAAAATCCTGAAAGGAACATCACCGAGCAATTGTTTTAAAGCCTCTGACATGATTAAGAGCAACCTTTCAACATGCTGATGGTAGGGACATGTAACTACTCCACCACCTAATATAAAACATTTACAGGTTAAAAGAACACCACTAAGATATTCAAATACATCCTTCAAATGACCATAACCTTGCATATAAGATCAGAGTCACAAATAACAAGTAAAAAACCAACAACACTTGTGTTTTGGGTTTTTTTTTGTCTGCCAAGTAGCAGCACCTACACATAAAGCTCCAACCCAACACGGAAGCTTTCATGCCAGATGTGGAAAAGACTGGAGACCTTCTGGAGTGGAGTTTATACAGAATATAAATCTTTCCCCAGCCCATGAAGGGCAGCTCTGCAAGGACAGGTGTGAGCATAGGATTCTCTACTGGGTGACTACAGAATTCCCAATTCATTCTGCAGCATTTTTAAGGCCAAATCAGATTCCAACTATTTTTCAGGCTATGAGTTTCCCCTGGCTATACACTGTGTCAGAACATACACCCCAGGAGGTCAGAGCCCAGCAAACATGGCCCATACTGTGCACCCCAACCTACCTCCTTGGCATCCTCGACGTTCTCGAAGTAGACGAATGCAAACCCTCGGGAGCGCCGTGACTGCTGATCGTACACGATGGAAACGTCGGCAATGGGCCCATACTTGGAGAAAACCTCTCGCAGGTCTCGTTCTGTAGTGTACAGACTCAGCCCAAACACTCCAAGACAACAGTTTGGATCAGGATTTGCCTAAAGGAAGGGACAGAGATATTAGAATGAAATTAGGTTTATTGCAGTAAAGGAAGGGACAGAGATATTAGAATGAAATTAGGTTTATTTGCAGTGCAACGTATTTCTCAAGTTGTGACTGTCAGGGCTTGAAGATGAACAGCAACAAAGGTGGGGCTGAGATTTAGGTCACCTGCTAATAGCCACTAATAAATTCAACCTACAGGAACAAAAGCCATTCACAGAACCCCTTTGTGTTTCTCAGGGCACAGAGACGATTCCAGGATGCATCCAGGACACACATACCCTGTTCCCAATGTGACGCCTCCGAGTAGACATGGGGGAATGGCTGTGACTGTGCCGTCGCCGGTAGTCCCGACTGTACGACCTGCTTCTGGATCTCCTGTGGGAGCGGGACCGGGAGCGGGACCTGGTGTAGTGTCTGCGGGAACTCCTCCTTGATCTAGACCTGAGGGAAGGAAGAGAAAGGTACAGTGTTGGGCTTGTTGGCGTGTTTAACATTTCAAAAATCCATCAGATAGTTACAAAAAGCTCAAATAACTGTTTCCCCAAATTCTGCAGCACCACATACCTAATCTATAATCCATTTACTCACTACCCTCAATGACTGTCGCTAAATCTTTACTATCAGATTACTGCAGATGCTCTCAGGGCATTCTTGCTGTAGTACAGGAACTTACACTGATCAATCAGCCCTTCATTTAACAAAGCTACCTGGGTGTGACATACTAGTGCTTAAATATTCAGTGTTTAGTGTAAAAGCAAGTGGGATGGCTTTCTTTTCCACATGTATCAGACAAAGGGACCAATAAATATGCTTTAACACAAAGCATGCACCACTGAGGGGGGCACTCTCTTGGTGGTGCCTTGGGTAACACTGACAAGCAAATGCATTCTTTAAAGTCTGGCAAATACCCCTGAAACAGAGCTGAGCATAATCTGAAGAAATCAAGCCTGAGCTGGCTCATTTACCTGCTGGTATTTCAGCAGTTATTTAGCACTGCTTGTTCATGAATATTTACATGTTCACTCTCGTAAGCGCATTTATGCAAAGGTGCAACTGCTCATCAATTCCTTTTTCCCCAAAAAGTATTGTCTTACATCACAAGTTCTGTGGACATGAGGGCCTAACACTCTTCAACTCCTTCTCCCAAAGAAGCCTTCCCAACACAGCCAATCCTAGAGGAGAAGCTGGACACTCACAGGGGCTACTACACCTGATCTTCATCTGCTGATGGCTGCACTAAGTAACCTGCATTCCACACCACTCCAAGGAAAAACTCCTGCAAGGCTAAGAAGTGCAATAAACAGTGTAACAGTCAATGGATCTGAGTCACAAATTGCTGATTTCCTAGCTCTGTCTTAAATGTCCCGCTCCTCTAACTCCACTGCAGCACCACCCCACTGGCATGAGGGAAGCTCTGAACCTGAACTGCTTTTACTCCTGAGCATTTAACAGCTTCTTCCAGGGATTTCTCAACAAGTGTCACAGCCAAACTGTTCAATCTATCTCCTCAAAAAACACCTCCAACCTCATCAAGAGTGAGACAGAAAAGCTCAACTTAAAATGGATATCCATGTCCAGGAGAAATTAATTCAGCATGTTACATTACAGCACTTTTCACTACGTATTTATAGACAAAACATGATTTTTTGCAACGAAATTAAAAAAGAGAACTTCCCTGAAGCTGTGAAAACAGTAAAAACATAGAGAAATTATAATATCAATAGCAAAAACAAGAAGCTCCACACATGCACACAGCCACATTTCAGCCACTGACATAGGAAAAAAAAAATAAAGCAAACTCAGAACTGATATTTCAGGTACCAGAATGGTATCAGCCAAAGATAGGAGATACAAACTTCAATAAAAGTAGATTTGAAAATCAAGTATATCCACACCCCAACTGATAAAAACACCAAGACACAGGTTGGTTCCCAAATCAAAGTTTAATTTATAAGCTGGTAACTCAAAAAATACATTTGCAACAGAAACTACCAAGAAATATATAAGTTATCACAGGGTTATTTCTCTGGGAAAGCCAGAGTTCAATGATCTGCCCATGACCACATCCCAGTGTGTGACAGCACTGAACAGAGATTAAAGTATGTTGTTTCTAATTATGTGCCTCGACACAATTCTGTCCAAATCCACTAGTCAACACTAACTCTGACATGTAATTCTGTTACCTCCAACCATAGGCATCTTCAAGATAGCTGTTAAATGCTCAGGAAGCCATGGTACTTATAAACTTCTACTTTTTGCTCATCAAAAAGTAGAAAGGCAGTTGCTAGGGCATTATTTACACACTTTTTATTGCAAAAGTAAGATCTGTCAGGTCTCTCATAAATTCTACAGCTTATATTTGCTTCTTCAGAATTGAGTACGATCTGTGACTGCATTTTTACTCAGTATTGTGGTTACTCTACAAGTGGGAAATGTTTTAAGGAGTATGAAATCCCTGGAGTCATATGGTTTAAGGAGCAGAAGAATATGCTGAGAGGTGTCCTGACTTTGTTGTTCTAATATTAAAAGGTCCCCCAAAGGTGTTTTCAGCCTCCCTCCCCCAAGGTTTTCAAACCTCAACTGGATAAAAGCCCTGACAGCAGGGTCTGAGCCCAGAGCTGAATGCCTGAGCAGGATCTGGGGATGGGCCCTTCCTGAGCTGCCCCATCATCTCTCACTGCTGGCACTCTCACAGGTCACTCCAGTGGTACTACTCTAACAAGTATTTATTCATTTTATTTGACACATTTCTTCTTACACTACAAGGACTGTCAGATACATGATATGACACTTGTGACTGTGCCTGAATTAAAAAAACTCATTCTTCTGGTGTCAAAGCTTCCCAGCTACCTTCCTTCTCACAAAAGCCTTTCTGTTTAATCTTGCAAGATTTAACACCCTCTTTGATAGTGTTTTCAATCGTGGGAGATTGCTGACAGCACAGTATCTTCCTCCAGCCTGCCCCTCAGGCTTTGGCAGTTCATTGCTTGTTCACATAAGAAGTGCATTGTGAACAGCTCACCTGAAAAACACACTGCTGAAACCTCACCTTTTTTAGCCTGAATGCCTACGAGTAAAGAAATGATCAACACATTCATTTCTGTAGTCAGCAGTCAACTAGCTACTCTTAAAAGAGGAATTCTGACCCTGCACACAGCTTGTTTGGCAGGTGAGTATCAGGAGAGGTAATACAGTACAAATAGGCACATGGATGTTTGTGCTGCCACATGACAAATACAATAAGCAAGCTCTCCACAACTTTTCTGGAGAGTTTTCTAATATTCAAAGCTGTTAATTTTCAAACATTCATTATTTATTTTCTAATATTCAAAGCCTGTTAATTTTCAAGTGAAATCAACAGATTTAAAATGTCAAACTGTGAAATTCACATTTATTTCTACTGCTCTTCACTACTCCAGGAACATCACTGTTTCCAGTACAGAAACATAATACATGAATGTGGCTTAAAATGGGAAATCTGCTGATGCACCAAACTCTGTCAATGCACAGCAAAACTAAGACCTAAAGTTCCTAGTACTCCACGTTCAGACACAAGTCAATATGCGAAGAGATAAAAGGCAGGCACCTCCAAAGTGTATCAGCAAGGATACACACCTACATAGCTGATTTAACTGTTGGAAGAAGCAGCAAAAATATCTAAATTTATAGAATTTGGCTTTCCCAATCCTGAAACCACACATGCCCCTTTGTATTCCATGTCCACACAAGATCCACTAACTCTGGGAACAGAACTGGCTAAGCTGGGTTACCTCTGACAATCATCTGACTTGTGAGGAAGAGGAAAAAGAAGCAAACTCACCTGGATTCAGACCTGGATCTAGATTTTGACCTGGAGCGCCTGGAATCCTCCTTAGAGCGAGATCTTGCAGGGGTGTGCCTCCCCGACTTGCCAGACCCATGAGCACTTCCGCTTCTGGAAGCAGAACGGGATTCCTGCACGCAGATATTGAAAGCCTAATTTGTACACAATTCCTTGTTCACCTACGGGCTGTAAACAAGCTCCAGTGAAATAAATGGTAAATATTCATAGCTATGTGTCCGGGCAGTCGGCATTAGCACTGCCTAGATTTTTAAGGAGGTTTTTTTTTTTTCCCTGGTAGACACTTCTTTACCCTGCATGTACTTTTGCTATTAAACAGATAATGCATGCATGTTTAGCAAAATATACAGGGACACATAAACAGACTAGTAATTACTTAGCGTAGTGCTTTCAGATTCCAGATTACTTCTTATCTTAACTTCATTTTTATTCCTTTTCTTCATTCTTCCGTTTCAAATTCTGACTTCTTTCATCTTCCCCACTTCACACAAATTGCTCAATATTCTATAAGTGGGACTTCTGGTCTGATAATTAGCATGCATTCACTTTCTTTTTTTTCAAATTTCAGCTTCACTTATTCCTGAGCTTCAAATAATTCTCATTTATAAAACTTGTCAAATGGCGACTTCCGCATTTTCCTTCTTCAACATTAACCTTAATAGAAAAAGAACAGGATGAAGAATATTTAAGAACTCCAGGATAAAATCTAGTGCCAAAACTGAAACTAGAAAAAAAAAAGTGTTGTGGACTTTTACTATAAATGCAGTTCAAGAATTGAATCTACCAAAGCCCTACAATTTTATCAACAGGTTCAGTCAACTCAGTTTAACTTAGCCCTAAGTAGCTGAATTTGCTATTTATGCCTGTATTTAATAGCAAGTGCAACTGGATCAACTGAGTACCTACTAAGGAATTGCAGCATCAGGAAACTCAAAGTAATTTGCACTATCAGCCACACACTGAGACAAAATCACCAAGGAGTGACTCCAGTGAGGTCCTGCTGCAGCCACTGACAGATGTGCTTTTGAATGCAGAAAGCACCGCACGGCTGGTCCTTCTATGAACTCCAATTATCTGAATTTTGGGCCCCTCCTGGTGTGAAGGTTTAGGAGCACACATCCCCAGCTGCCTGCACAAGTGGGATTACATGTGCAGGCTTTGTGTTTCCACAGAAATCTGAATTTCCCACTGACCAGAACTGCATTTGTGCCCCACACTCCAAACTACTCTGGAATAACCTAATTAGCAGTTTCAACTTGTGTATTTTTATTTTTTAATCAGTACAATGCTTGACTTTAGTCATATGCCTTAAACACCTGAACACACTAGTAGAAAGTATTCTTCATTTAAAGACATCAGAGAAAATTTACAATTCAGCAGAATTATACTTCCTTCTAAAAACAATCCTGAATTTAGTGTAAATTCTGATGAAGAAAGCTCACTAATGACACTGGGTACCAGATTTTTCTCAAAAATCCCTTGTTTTATCTTTCTAACATGTCTTAAACTTGAACACTAACTCAACAGGAATCCTGTACTAAGCATTCAGAAATTCATTAGCTAACCCAAAACTTAATTATGCTTCAACCACTTCCATACAACTTTAACCAAATGTTACCAGCTTACCCTACCATACAGGGGAAAGAAACATGACATAAAGGATAAAGCAGGTTTGCAATTAATCCCAAGAGCAACAGAAATAGAACTAAGTTGGCCAACGTTGTATTCTTCATAAAGATGTTTAAGGTTTTGCTCTAAACTACAGCTTCCCCATGTACTAACACTGCAAAGGGCAGGGAGAATATTAGAGAGCAATTTAAATTACAATTAACTAATTTAACCTAAATCAATTACTACCTTCCAAAGAAAACACTCCAGAGATGAGTTCTGAGTTAATGTATGCATTTTGCCTCAAGAAGTCTTAGCTCTTCAACAAAGTTAGACAAAGTAAGATTGAAGAAGGACTAAAACCCAAATTAAGGCTGCTTTTCACCTGAGAAAAAATACCTCAATTCATAAAAGATTATCTGGGCTAAACAGAAGGAGCTGTGGTCAAACACAGGTGGTCTGAGACCAGAAATAAAAGGAGAAATGCAGGTTTGGAGGGAAGCAGTTGAGAGGATTTTGCCCACAAATACACCCCAAACCCTTTTTCAGAGCTTTTAGAAGTCAAAAAGCTTTGAAGAATTTAGTAGAGAATAGGTAATTCTTCATACATTTGGTACATTTTTCAGGCAATCTTTGCTGTATTTTGTTAAGGTTGATGTGGAATCTGGACACCGAGGAGCTGAGCTTAGGAAGAAGTCTTAGACACAACTATTGACCTAAATTTAAACAATTAAACTGCTGGCCTATTTTCATTCAACTCCTTTGAATTTCATATTTCCCAGGCTTTAAACATCCACTTTTTTTTCCAGATCATCCTTCAATCCACCACACTTTACAGGATCATGGCACTTCTTTATTCCAGCTGTAAAGGAATTCAACTCACGTCCCCTGCTCTGGATATCACCAGGACTGGTAGTAACCCCCAAAATAACCAAGTTACCCCTTTTCCACCCCAAGCCCCAGGAAATCCTCCCTATCCAAAATTCCAAGAACCAGAGACCTGCAACACTGCAAATTTATTTTACACCCTAGAGGGTTCACATCAGTCACAGCTCATATCTTCCATCTGGTTTTGTTGTTCTTTATATGTTCTTTTTTCTTTTCCTACTCCTTGCTTTCACTCTGTGAATTTGAAGTTACTGAAAAATGCTGAAGTATGCTCCTGGCATGACATGTGGTAGAGGGAAGAAACAACTCTCCTTACCCTGCCTATATTCCAGCACTGCTAGTCAGCAGATCCAGACAGTATTCACTAAATGCTGAGCAGGGAATGTCCCAACACAGGATTATTTGGGGGGCAGTAGGTATGAAAGGTGATGCTGAGATCCTGGTTTTCCTCACAGGAACAGAAGTTACAGATTTCAGTCAGTAATGTAAGATACAGAGAAATAAAGGTTTTATAATAATATATTCCTATGAAGTTATGTATTTCCACTTGTTTTCCTAAGGAAAGGTGCAGCCTCACATGACATTATCCGATCTGCAGCCTCTTATTCAAGGTGCCACTGTGCTGACTCCACGATCTCCAACCTCTCCATTATGCAAGTTGCCTCTCTTCCCCTGAGGGACATGAGATCACTGCTATGGGAGCTGGGGATTCACTCGAGGGAGAGCAGAACCATACCTTTCCACAGGTTTCCAAACTCCACACAGAAAGAACAGAGTGTTTTGAACAATTAGGCCACAGCTTCCTCCCACCACCTCTGCCACCGGCCCTGTGGGCTCCTCCAGTGCCCCAAGCTGGCAGGAAATTAATCCATCAGCAAAACCCAAATTATCTTCTGACAGGTTTGGGCACTGAATCAGCTCCCTATGAGGTGCCATCAAGTGCCAGTTGGTGAGGGAGGAACACAGGGAATGGTCTATCCCTTTGGTGGCACTGAGTGATCAGCTCATGCCTAATCTCAAACTGCTTCCTCAGACCACCTCCTCACACAATTTAGTAATAAAAATCACTCTTTTTTGAAAAGACACGTATTAAATACCTTGGAAGCAATCTGTAATTTGCGCTTTTATACATTAAAACCGAAAAGACCCAAACATAACCCCCCACCCTGACTTGCACATTGAACAGCTTCTGACCACATACCAAGCCATCATAATTAACTAATTCACAAGGTAGGACTCATTAATTTGGCTTTTAACTCGTCTTTTTCTAACCCCTCCATGCCTGTTCAGTGAGAACAATTTCAATGAAAACAAAATTAAGTTGGAAAACAATGGCATTGCAGCACAACAACAACATCTCAAGTATATTACAGTATTTAAGTACTGGAAGCATTCCATAATTTATAGTTTCTTCAGTCAAAAAGTTTCTAGAGTTCATCCCACTATGGAGCATAAATTGTAAAAGAGAATTCAAGTGGGGATTTTTAATTCTTCTTACATTCCACCCCCCACTTTTAAAAACACCATAATCCAGTGTAAATTCGTGCTGCTGCATAAACAAGTCACATTCCTGGCAAAAGCACCTGGAATTTCTTCATCCCAAAAGCTGCCATGAGGACTCAATCAAGTCAGGCCTGCAAACCAATGCAGCTGGAAATGGAGTAAAACAAGATCCAGCTGACTGAATTCCCAGATCTGACTGACTGAAGGGAACACCACTAAAGGAGAGAGCAAGAGGACAATTCCTGTTGGCAGCCTGAACTTGGGACTGTTTAAGACAGTTGCAATCATATTGCAGATTATTTATCCAAACACTAACTCTATTCTGCAGAGACTCCAGCTTGGAAAAGCATAAAAGCCACTGACTCAGTAAAACATAAGCCTTAAGTAAGCAAAAAACCCCATAAATAACACTGGCAAGAGCAGAAGTTGAAAACAAATCCCTGCTCCAGTATGGAATAGCAGGTCTGCAGCTCTATGGTTTCACCTTTACAAACATGTCAATTTTAAACAACTTACCTATTTGAAAGTCCCTAAAGTTCAGACATAACTCATTTTAGGCACTGGAAAAGGCAGGCTACAAATGCTTTAATACATTTTTAAAGTTAAAAATATAGAAAAGCAGTAGATAACAATTTCTGCCCCGATACTCTGCACATTTGTTTCACACAAAAAGACTTTGCTATAGAAGCTTAATTATTTCCACTCTTTCTGACTGAAAACACAATGCAGGTTATTCTAGGAAACTTTATTAAGACTAAATTTGCTTCCAATCTACAAAACAATTAAAGCATCTTTAAAAGAAACTAACACACAAATCATTCACCCAGACCAAAAAAATACCCCCTCACTAAAATAACTTTAGAGTGAATGAAGATACCAATGAAAACACTGGCGCTGGCACCAGCCTATTCCTTAATCCTTGTCTTTCACCATTCACTCCCATTTTTAGCCCTCTGGAGACCGAATTTTTCTACCTTACCTAATTTTACCAGATTTTTCTACTTTACCTACCTTGAAGTAGAAACACTCAGATATGACGGCTTCTTATAGTGGATTAATAAGACAAAGCTATATTCTAAGAAAGACATCACTCAGTATTACTACGTTCTCTAATATTTCTTACCCCGTCCAGTCTAAAATTTAAGAACTTATCACCTCCACAACTCCCTCCGATGCTGCAGCAAAATATTTGAATTATGCTGAAAAAAAATCCCCAAAATACAGTACTGACCCTAATTGAAGACGTCAAAGGAAAACAAGGCTGATGCAGTATGCAGTAAAAAAAAAAAAAAAAAAAAAAAAAAAAGCAACTACAAATGTGCATCACAAACGTGAAGCTTAGCAAGTCATCTATTTCGACATTAATAAAAACTCATCCGGACAGTGAGATCTTTCCCAAACGATAAGCTTTGAGAGATATCTGCTGCAGGTTTCACAAAGCGAAGGGGTTGCCTCTGATTATCAAGTCTAAATTAGAGGCGAGCCCGAGCCACCTGGACGCTAGGCCCGAAGAGCAGAGTTATTGTTACAGGCGAGAGGAAGCGAACAGCGGTCTAAATTAAAGAGCAAATCAAGAGTGGGTTGCAAGGCGGCTCTGGAGAGAGAATAATAACAGCGTTCGCCTTCCGCAGGGGTGGGATGAAGGACGAGGGGCCCCTGAGGGCTCGGGGCCGCCATTTTGTCCCTCCCGGGCGCGCGCGGTCCCGGCCCAAGATGGCGCCGAGCACCTCACGCGGGGAGCGGCTCCTCCGCCACCGACGCCGCCATGCCGCCTCACCCGTCTCTCCGCTCCCGCGGAGGCTCCGTCACCCGCGAAAGG